TTTTGTACGACACTATTGATAAAAACAAGTGTGATGTATTTTTATTTTGTCACTGTTATAGTAATAACTATGATGATTATATTTTTCTCACAATTAAATTCTCACTATAAGTATATAACTGTGATACAAATTTCATCGTCACAATAAGTTTGACACTATTAGAATACGAAAATTAGTACAATTATTTCCTTGATAAAAAATAATATGATAATGATGATATATAAAGTGATTACTATAATTTGATATTTATTGTAACAATAAAGTTGTTTGTCACTTAAAATTTTACTTTTTGTTGTGATAAATATTGACATCAATAATAATTAAAATTGTTGTTAAGATAAACTAGTTTGGCAAACAGTAAAATTTTTATTATTAGTCTTATGCTCTAATTTGATTAGTTTTAGTTTGTATAATGACTATATGCATAATAAATTATTAATAAAATTATCTTAAACTTTTAAATATATTCTTTTATATTATTATGAATTTTATTTTTATTAACGAAATAAATGTCCGACTATACTATAAGCTTTGACAGTGTCATTTAATATTCAATTATGATTAGCTTTTTCTTCAAAATAATTGATTATTTTTTATATGTAATTCATGATCTTTATAGAAATATATGTGAATTTTGCAAACACCAATTAATTATTAGTACTTTTTTTAAAATTTAGGAATTTCACTACAAGGGGTTAATAAATTGTCAAATATTTTTATTTGTATTTATTAAATATAATTTAAGGACGTCTGACATTATTTTAGATTTAAATCTTAATATTTATATGATTATATTTTAAAATAAACCTAATTATTTTTATATATGAGAAATCATAGAAAATTTAATTAAATTATCCTAATAATAATTAATATTATATATATATATATATATTAAAATAAATAAAACTAATTTAAAAAATAGTTTAGAATAAATATTATTTTTGTGTCAACATCATATATTTCTTTCTTAGCACAGTGGATATGTGTTGCACTTTTTTTCCTGAAGGTCCCAGATTCAATCATTTGCCATGTATTATATTAATTTATCAAAATGTAACATTTTAAACTAACACCCAGATGGTCTAGCGAGAGAAGACAATAGACCCCTTAAGCAAATTGGGTTGGGAGGGTTCCTAAAGAAGATGAATACAAACTAAAAATGTAATATCTACGGTAGTTGTGATAAAATACTTTTCACTAATAAGGATGATATTTGTGTATGAATTTTCGTTACTGTTATTAATATTTCTGTGTAAAAAAAACGTAAATACAAAAATACAAGTAATTGTGATAATTCATTAAAGTCGTCACTAATATAATAGTGACGAAGTTATTGTTAATAGTATCGAACATCTGGACACTAAAAATCACTTACTGCGACAACGTTGGTGGTCACAAAATATTCTTTCAGTGTCAAATAAATTTATCACAATTTCTATTGATAACAATATCAAACATTTGGTCACTAAAAAATATTTAGTGTGATAATATTTATGGTCACAAAATATATTTTCAGTGTCAAAAAAACATCATCTCAATTTATATTGATAATTGTGTCGAATAGATGGTTACAAAAAAAATGAATAATTGTGACAATTTTTAGAATAATTGTCATTAGAGTAATAATGACGACTTAAAAATTTTGTCACTATACATTTTAGAGTCTAAAAAATTTAGTGCTTTTTGTGACCATTTGCAGTGTCACTAAATGTGCATTTTCTTGTATTGTAAATTATTCTTAAAATACTAACAAGGATCCTACTTGGATTAAATGCCTTTAAAGAAACCGTCCATGTCATCACTGTCACGGCCCGTCCATGTCATGTTAGCATTTCGTTAATGATTAACGGCGGGATGACTTAATTGAAGTAAAATATAAACGTCAATGTTAAAATTGACAAAATTAAAACGTCAATAACATTTTCAAGCATGTGGTCAATAGTATTTCATCTATCGTGCGTATAAGGGAGGGGAGGCGGAGACGCGAAGCAAAATCATAGAAAAATAAGTTTTTTTTTTGTTAAAATCGGTCCCTTTTCTTCATTACTTTTTCAAGTTCTTTAAACTTTACTTGTTAGCTTGATTCCTACCAAAATTACCCAAAATTACCCAAAAAATTTTCAATAGCTGCGCTGCATGTTACTCGTTACCACTGCTTACAATAAAAAAAAGCAAGAAGCAAGAGGCAGGGAAAAATAATCAGGTACTTACATGAAATTATGAACTTCTCAAAGTGAAAGTTTTTATCCTTTTGATTTTGTTTGATTTTGAGTTTGGACAGTGAAGTTTGGGAAAAAATTTGAAGTTTAATTAAAGTATGAGATTTGAAATTTCAGTTGGGTTGCTTTTATCTTTTGTTTTCAATTCATGTTCTTGACTTGTATTGTACCGATTCAATATATTCTTTTTAATTGATTTTGGATTATCTCAGAATTCAGATTGCTTTTTCTTTTCTTGATTGAAAGTAATCAGATTTTTACAGAAGAATATATTCTTTTGTTGTCCTTTTAAATTGTTTGATTTATTTATCAATTATCAATATTGCTTGTTAAGTTGAGGGCGCTATCTAGCGTTATTGGTGTGACTCAGTTTCACACCGAGATTTTCGACAATAGTGGTATTGAACGGCGCTTTCACGGCGAGATGACGGCCGCTATTTGAATCACTTGACTGGGTCTAAAACATAATACTATAGTTTCTCTCCAAAATCCATCAACCAATTCATTAATATTTCAGGTTCATGAAACGTGACCAAATGTACTCAACCAGGGACTGGACTGATCTTCCTCTTTTATCATCCATAGCTGATCGATTAGGCTTAATCGAGCTTCTAAGATTCCGAGCCGTCTGCAAGGCCTGGTACGCCGCCTCTTCATTTGCCTCGGCCGATATTGAAGCCTTACCGGATCGCAACCCATGGTTCATAGAGTACGATTCTGATAATTCTCAGTGCACATTGGCCACTGAAAAATTCACTAAAAAAAACATCCTTGATGTTCCAGAACTAAAGGAAACAGAGTGCCTAGCATCGATTGAAGGGTGGCTCCTACTATTCTGTGAAGGCTCGATGTTCTTCTTTTGCCCTCTGTCCCGTGCCAGGATCGACATTCCGGGGACATTCTCTCACACAGTAATCAATAAGCACGTAACATTCCTTTCGGCTCTGCCGACGTCGAAAGGCTGCATCGTGGGGGTCGTTAGCCAAACCGGAACAGTGATCGAATTGCACGCGATGCGATTCGCCATGGAGCCACTTGTTGGACCAAGCACAAGCTGGAATTTAGGTTACCACTCTATGCTGCTTACCGGAAGGAGGGGTTTTTTAATATTTTGAAAACAATTTAATGGAGTATTTTTCTATAGATGAAGCAAAGTTGAGCCTGGCGGAAGCGTCTTGTGAGAAGCCGGCAACGGAGGAGGAAGAGAGGAATAGAATGAAGGAACTGAAGGAAGGGTTGGGATTAGATCTTGTTTTTGCAGGACGATTGTGCATACTGAAAACAATAGGGTTTTTAAGACAAGTGCAAGGTTTGAACCCCGGTTCCATCAGATGAATGGAAAGCAAAGCTGGTGAGCCAGGGAAGAGCAATATTGCTGTTCCTTTAGCTGATTGTTTTATTATATTAGGGCTAGATTTCCATTTATTGGTTGTTGTTACTCATTTTTCATCACCTAAATATAATTCTCTAATACTTAATTATAGACCAAGTCTTATACTAGCATTTGAGATGACTATCTAGCTCAGTTGATAGAGCATAAGGTTTTTAACATTGAGGTCGTGGGATCGAGTCATACGGAGGGCATTTCATAATTCGGAGGTCTTCTACGGAAGCTGCTCTCAACCTGGTGTTGGGGGCAGCCTACTATCTTACCTCCCCTTACCCCATTATATATTATATGGGAACAAGGGACATCCATTTTTTTATTATACTAGCCATTTATTTTAATAGGCAAGTCTACATATTCTATTCTATTTTGCAATCTGCATATGCTCAACCTGCAATTTGCTGATCTTCTACGGTTAGTCAACTCTATATACGTGAGATAAAGAGTTTCTAGGGCATTAGAGCTCGAACCGCATAGAGTTTCTTGTGCTCGTTTTTTAGAATCTGTCGGACGTATATAGCCTAAGTAATGACTAAGATCTGATAATCATTGAATATGTATTCTTTATCACTTTCTTATCACTCCTTTAATCTATCTCTCGTTAATTCATTTAATTTTGAATTAAATATAATAATATATTTTTTTTTTAAAATCTCATTTTTCAATTTATCAAATATTTTTTAACTCTTAGTGTTCTCCAATCTCAATCTAACGATAACATAATACATTATTCTTTATTTTTTTTAATTTATTATTCAAAATAAAGCCTCGTATCATAATTCATACTCACATTCTATTTTTTATTCTCCTAATCGTATTTAAGGTATTTTCTTAATAAAACAATGACACTAATATTTGAAAAAGTTTAATCATTTTTCTACGATATTAAATTAATTGTTAAAGTAATAGAATTTTCATTCATGACCCTGAAAATATTTGAGACGACGCTAGTCTCTATACTTCAAAAACAAATTGTTTAAGTTGATTAATGTATATAAATATATTTTACCCTCTGTACTACACTACCGTGGGATATAAGTATTTCACTTTTCTCGACATAATTCATAAGTAGTTTATTTTTGAGTATCGATTTCTCATTGTTCACTCAACTTTTTCGATCATATATTATATCATTGTAAAAACTCGTGAAATAAAATATAAATGATCTATAATTCGAATTCACCAAAATCTACTGAAAAAGAAAATAGATTAAGAGAACATGAAGCAAACAAAAATAGCATGAGAAAAATGATTATATTTATGTTCAACTCTCCCCTCGATCATGTGTGATTATATTTATAGTAATGGATTAGGTTTATACAAACCCATTTACAAAAGTTATACGTAAAAAAACCGTCATAAAGTCGTTATATAACGACCTCAGAAGGATCAGGATTATTGACTGTTACATAAAATCGCCATACTGCTTTCTTTCTAAGATCCAGTAGTGAAAAATTCTACGCTCTTAATGGTGAGCGCCGATGACGAGATGACCCTGAAGAAGATATAGATGAACTTTTCGAATTCATCGTCATAAAGAACAGATTCGACAAGTAATCGCTTACGTCTTCGGGCGAAAATCTGACGAAAAATTTCGTTCTACTTTCATCTCTAACTGTTGATTTATGAGTATCATGGAACTCCCTGTACACTCCAACGAGCTTCGTCCCGATGGAAAGCTTGATTTTGTCTCGCAGTTTCGGATCGGGCACCACAGAAGAACTCTGCTTAATGTATGCGTCTTCAAAGCTCGAAGTAAAATTCTTGAAACATTCTTTAGTTTCTTCATCGGTCATCGAAACAGTTGGATTCTCCGATAAGGAATCGAATACTTTTCCCCAAGCTAACCGCTCGTAATTCGCCGCATACTGCCTCACCTTAGCTTCATGTTTCGCTAACCAGTCTTCGCCGAGTACATACATGAGATTCGATGTACGGACACCAGAGATTATGTGTTGGAGATTGTTGGCTAGGAATAAGTAAGATTGGGAGACGTCTTTGTAATGGTTTGACTTACCGTCGAGTTTGCAGAGTAGGACGAGGATTAGCCGCGCAAACCGGACGGATATTGCAGGTGCCGGAGACTCGTCGGAATCTTGAATATCGAGGAACGGTTCCGGTATCGATGATCTTGCCGTCGGTGGCCAGTCCGAGATAATTTCAGTGAGGATGTTTCTGTAATCGGCTAGGAGAGTGAGGCAATTCATCGAGTATATCGTTAAAGGATGCAGACCGCCGCCTGGAATCATCGCTTTGGACGAGTCCTTTTGGATTTTGGATTCGAAATCAGTCAACGACGAATGCACTGACTCACTGAGTCGAACCAGAGAGTTCAGAGCTTGTAATCGGACGGATGAAGCTGATTCAAAAGAAAAGATCGTTTCAATCGCTTGCCAGTCCTCTGAAACTGCAATGTACATATCGAGAATACAGATCAATTTCTCCATCGGCAATTTTTTATCGGTGATCGATTTTCGAATAGTTTTGTAAATGTTTATGCATTCTTTAGCGTAACCGGAAGCGATCATGCAATCGGCTATCAATTTCAGATCGGATTTAGCTGTAAAAGAATCATCTTCCGAGATGTAATCACCTACGGTGCGAATCTCATCGTCCGGTGAACCGTTATCATCATAATCCAACGTGCTAATTCTCGTGGAAGTCCGTGATTTTCGGGTAGAAACAGATTCCGGATCCAAATCAGCCCGATTCATCGATAAAATCTGGTAAAACTCTTTTTGAAGCCGTTTCATTGCGATTTGCATCAAATTTTGAGCTTGAGTGAGCGTTTCGGGATCGGAAACTTGATGAGAAACCAGCAAATGCATGATCTCTTGTAGATCGTTGACGGATTTGATGAACTGCATGACTTCTCTTTTGCTTCCGTGGAAAAGAGAAGAAACTCCAGCGTAAGCTGACGCTTCCGCATCCCATTTCATGATGATTGTGGCGGCGGCGTCGATGGTCGTCTCGATCATGGATCTACGGCGAGGAGTACTGGATAGCGAGGTTCTTGAAGGTGACATGATGGAAGACGACGACGTGCTGGAGGTGAAACAAAGGCTCTTCATCCCTTTCCTCGGCGTGAAGAGGTAAGTGTTCTGAAGCTTTTTTTTTTAGTAAGTTTTCTCTTTGTTTATTTCTGGATTTGAATGAATGAGTAGGAAAGAATTGGGGAGGGGAATTTATAGAAGCTGGTTTGACGACGCCGTTGCTAGGAGGGGAAGAACGTTGTGGGGGGGGGGGGGGGGATTTTGACCCTTGAAAATTAAATAATTTTTGGGTAAAGTACAAAAATAATACCTCAACTAAATGGCATTGATTTTTTCAGTCCCTCAGTTATTAAAAGTTACAAAATGATCATCGACTATTCATATGATCCAAACATGTCCTTTTTTATTAAAAAAATATTAGTCATATGAACTGGACATTAATTTATTGACTAAGATATGATAACATAATATTTTAATAATGTTTACAGACACTGGCGTTGCTTTTAAGCACTGTCTCAACTAGGGATGGGTATGGGTCGGATTTCGGCCACCCCGACCCGAAAATTTTACATCCTTCACCCGACCCGACCTAAAATAATAAAAAATATTATTTTTATTCAATAAAAACATTGATTTAATTAAAATAATAATATATAGAGGGGTATTATTGTAATTATTCTAAATATATAAGGTAAAATTATATTTTTTGGGTGGGGTCGGGTATTTTTCACCCTAAACTCGACTCTGACTCGACATGAAACCAAATTTAAAAAAAAAACAGAATCGATCCTGAACCTGTCAGATTTGGGTCTCATGCCCATCCCTAGGCTCAACGACATAAAGTTTCAAGCACTAACTCAAACGACATAATGTAAATGGAGACTCGATCCACGAAGTATAACTCTAACAATCATATCTTATCATATCCCAATTAGCATGTTAACATCTAGCTCAAACAATCATCATTTTTAATAGAAAAAAGACAAATTTGAAATATATGAATACTTAAATGATCATTTTATAACTTTTAATAGTTAATGAATCCAATAAAATATCACCTTATAATTAGAAGATCACTTGTGTACTTTACCCATAATTTTTTATATGATGTTGCTAACCATTATTTTAATATACTTTTAGGGTAAATTATGCGTTTAGTACGTAAACTATTAGTTTTGGTCCGTTTTAGTACATAAACTTTCAATTTTTTCAAAACCATACCTAAAGTTTAGTTTTATTTCATTCTAGTACCACTGTTCAAAATTTAACATTAAGTTTTAAAAATTTGAAATTTTAGGTATTAAAATGGACTAAAATTGATAGTTTAAGTACTAAATGCGTTAAATTTTTAATGACGGAGTACTAAAATAAACAAAAACTAAATGTTAAATAATGTTTTAAAAAGATTAAAAATTTATGTATTAAAATAAAATAAAACTGATAATTTAATTACTAAATACGTAGTAATATTTTTTTTATAGAAAGTAATATTTGTTTTAATTAACGCACGAAGGGCACTAATATTAACCAAGTCAAATATCAACAAATAAAGAGATAATATTACCAACTAAATTGGAAAATTGTGCCACTTGAAGAAAAAATCATGAATATTAGACTTATCTTCAGTCAAGGCTATATAGATCCCACGCGTTACATCACTATAATTAAATGTTCAATTTTCTTTCCCTTGAAAATAATAAAAGAGACGAGTTCTTGATAAGATCTCAAAATCCTAACGATATCCCAATTCAACTTTTTGGAATCCCTTTTTCAAAAAATTTATTTGCAAAATTTATTGTTTTTGAGAATTTTGTATACGTATTAACTTAATTACCAAAGTGTAGGGTTTGAAAAAGTAGTACAATTATTTTTATTTTCGTATGAAACCCATCTAAATATGTAGGAAACATTTACAAAAGCAATAACGGATTAATTAGAGATTTGATATAAAATTTAATTTGAAAATAAATGATAAAAGAGGTATATACCATAAAGATTAAATTATTTTTAAAATAATAAAACCTAATTGATTTATTCATATTTATAACATAAAAATCAAATAGATCTATTTAATAATGAAGACATCTATTTAATATATTCATATTTATTCATACTTATTCATACAATACAAGAGCCTCCCAATTACACAATAAAAAACCCTAAATAACAAATGTACTGTTTGAATGTTCGATTTTAATATTGCAACAAGCTAAAAAAAAGGACGGAAAAGAATAAGAGAGTTGTAATTAATTAGGATTTAATATGCCCACGAATTCCGCGCATTGTAGAAACAAAGGGTCTGTATATCCACATATCACTTGAAATCTGTACAGAATATCTGGGGAAAAAAGCAATTGGGATTTGTTAAATCATCATTGCACTAATTTTATGTATACGTAATTACAAACGGAAGCAGGAGTATATGTTATGGAGACGAATATAAATTTATAAAATTTCAGAGGTAAATTTAATTTTATAAAATTTTAGGAATTAAAAATATATTTTTAATTAAAAATATCTAGAAAAATATTTAAAATATATGATAATTTTAAAATTTTAGGGGTCGATCGTCTCCACCTGTCCTGTCTAGGTTCACCCTATACGTGATGGAATGAATGTAAAATTTTATACTAGGAAGATAAATTTATAAAACGTTAGATAATAAAAATATACTATTAATAAAAATATAAAAAATATTTAAATTATATAAAAATTTAAATTTTTTAAAAGACGGTTATAAAGGTCGGCAAATTAACTCGTGTGAATGTCTTTGGCCATTTGACCTTTTGGATGGTCGATTGCCTTATTTTACTTCCATCTAACTAACCTACTTCAAAAGAAGAAATTCAAAGGTTATCGCAGCATTAGCATTGCGGACTTTCATGCACAGTTTTTTATATGTGAAAAAGTTAGCATTATTTAGTTAATGTAAAAAAGTATTAGAGATACTTGTATTTTTTTTTAAAAATATTGTCCTCGTATTTTTTTTAATATGACCCTTCAACTCTGAAAATAAATTTAATGTGAACCTTTAAGTAATGTTTTTTCGTCATTGACCGTTACGATGCTGGCATGACAATTCACGGTGTTAGTGTGACAGTTCATCTGTCATGTTTGAGTTACCAATTTAACAATCTGTCATGTCATATGCTACATTATCAATCACCGTGAACTTCATGTCAGTGCAGTGACTGCCATGTCAGTACTGTAACAGTTAACGACAAAAAACGTTGATTAAAGGGACACATTGACTTTATTTTCTAAGTTGGAAGACTACGTTAAGAGAAAATATAATATGAGATATGTATTGTTTTTTTAAAAAAAATTACAGGCACCTATGATAATTTTTTTGACTTCAATTAAAATCTGAATTTCTACAATGGCTTTCCAGCGGCGGTCTTCGGTGGCGGCTCTCATCTGTGCCATTCAACATTTCAACTTCAATATTTTCCTCTCAACACTCGATTTCGACCGCTCATAAAAGCTCAATACTGGAATTTATAGCAAGTTTAATTATTATATATATGGATCAAATTATATTTAGATTAAATTCATGAATCTCATATTCCATCATTGTCTTCGAGATTTTTGTTGATTATTCTTTTATTTGAAAAAAAAAGATTTAAATTTTGTAGAATTTCATGCTGCCATTATATGCTGGTTATTGAAATAATTGAAGTAAAAAAGTTCATTGATTCGAATTATACTATAGTTCGAAATTATGAAATGCTATAAATTTTTTTGTTGTGACATGGATTTTAAAATTCACTTCTCCACCTCCCTATGGTTATATATTAATGAATTCACCTCTTCATCTCCTACCACTCTATTAACTTATATTTTATCTAAAATACTTTGAAACTCACAAAATTTAACCTAAAATCTAAATTTATGACATCCTAAATCGCTTTGATTTATACTATTCACAATCGGATTAACATGGAATCAATATATACAATTCAATTCCTTCTTCTCTACCTTTCCACTATCACGCTTCATCATCGAGAAAACAAAGAGAATTCAAAATTAAGATTTTTCATAAAAATAAGAAAGTTTTGGGGTTATTTCATAATTTTTACAAGAAAAATATTTATTTGTAATGTCGTTAACATTTGAGTGATCAAAATAGGAATAAAACAAAAGTTTAGTGAGAAAATAAAAAAAAATTAGTGACCAAAATAAGAGTGAGAAGAAAGTTGAGTTGTGAAATTTATAATTTATCCAAAGTTTTATCATCAAGGGTAAAGTACAAAAATGGTCCTCAACTATATAGTGTTGCTTTGTTAATTCATACATCTATTAAAAGTTATAAAATGATCTGCTATGTTGAGTGCATCAACTATTAGAAGTTAGGGTAAAATATACCTTCCTCACTGAACTTGAATCTCTCTCCTATTTTACTTATTGTACTTTTAATTTTTTTTAATTTATTTACTAAACTTTTAAATTGCTCCTATTTTGGTCACTCTGAATTATTTTATTATTATTATTTTGGTATGAAATGATATTTTTTAGTATTAATTTTATTATTTATTTAAAATTATTTTTATATTAAATAATAAAAAAAATATTATGTCATACCAAAATAATAATAAAATAATTCAGAGTGACCAAAATAGGAACAATTAGAAAGTTCAATGAGCAAATTTAAAAAGTTGAAAGTTGAGTAAAATAGAAGGGAAAGTTCAATGAGGAATGGTGTAGTTTATCCTAAAAGCTATACAATAACCATTTTACTATTCATATATTCTAAACTTGTCCTTTCTCGTTAATAAATTAACAGTTGTCTAAGTTGGATTATCTTGCTGATTAAGATATGATAAAATTTGGTATCATAATCGTTTGAATTATATAATCATTTCAGATACGAGATCAAATTTTATCATATCTCAATCAACAGTTTAATGTTTAGCTCAGACAACCATAATTTTTTTAATGAGAAGGGACGAGTTAGAAAAATATGAATAGTGTAGTGGTCATTTTGTAACTTTTAATAATCAAGAGGCTCAATAAAATAACATCATATAATTAAAGAACAATTTGATAACATTTAATAGCTAAAAGACTTAATAAAGTAATATCATATAGTCAAGGGACCATTTACGTACTTTTGCGTATCACCTAATAGTATATGAAGAAAAAGAAAGGAATACTAATAACCTCAAGGTTTTGGTTTGGTAACGGCGGAGCCTTGAAATATGGCAGGCATTTGCGCATCGAGTTCAAGGCCTAGGTGGTGAGTTCAGCGAGTCACCAATAAAAGAGGAAAATCGGATCATACCAGTTCTTTTAATGTTTTAACGATACACGACCCATCCCTCCCTTCTTTCTCCAACCCCATTTTCATTTGGTGCTAAAAACAGTGAATGGTTGAAACGTGTTTCAGCCTTTCATCTTCAACATTCAACCCCCCTTGAAAAGAAAAACAAAGTACAGCTCATCTGAATTCTCCCCTCAAAAAGAAGAAGATAAAGGGTCACTTCATTAATTGGATTAATGAAGTAAAGCGTATTTTTTATTATAAGGAAGTCCCCGATCATGTGAAAGTGAAACTGATCTCCATCAAACTCAAGGGCAGAGCATCTGCGTGGTGGGAGCAGTTATGACGTTCACGATACAGGTAGGGCAAGGCCAAGATCACTGATTAGGAAAAGATGAAGATGAAGGGTCACTTCATTCCCTTCGGCTACACGCAAACCTTGTTTCAGCGACTTCATGCGGTGAGGCAGGGCGCACGATCATTCGATGATTACACGGAGGAGTTTTACCAATTGGTCACCCGGAACGATTTATCTAAGACGGAGAAGAAGATGGTGACGCGGTATTTAGGGGGTTTACGCCAGCCCTTGCAAGATGTCCTTAGCCTTCATTCACTGTGGAGTGTTTCGAAAGCTTACCAGTGTGCACTTGCTGTTGAAAAAATAGTAAAACATGAGACTAGTGATCAGGAGCGATCACAACAGTCGACCAGTTTACCCTCGGGATTCCCGTCCTGCTCAGCAGCCACCGTAGGGTAATTCTAACCCTACTATTAGATGTTTTCGTTGTGGTGAACAAGGGCATAGGGCGACTGATTGCAGGAAGTCTGCTAGTCAAAAGAACAAAAATTTGTTGATTGAGAAAAACACAGAAGACGAGACTGAAGAGATTGGCGAACCCGTGTATGACGATGAAGAGACTGATGATGTGTTGTATGGAGATGGTCATGAGACTCTGGTCGTTCGCAAGAGTCTACTGACTCCCAAGGGAGATTCAGGGGATGATTGGTTGAGAACCAATATTTTCCACACAACCTGCACAATTGTAGATAAAGTCTGCAAAATGATCATTGACAGCGGCAGTTATGAGAATGTAGTATCCGAGGAGGTTGTCCATAAAATTACAGTTGAAGACGGACCGTCATCCTAAGCCATACAAGTTGTCATGGATAAATAAAGGAAGTGAGGTAACAGTTGATAGGCGATGCATCCTGTCTTTTTCAATTGGTAGAAAATATTTTGATAATGTCTGGTGTGATGTTGTGTCTATGGATACGTGTCATATATTGTTGGGTCGACCTTGGTAGTATGATCATAGTGTCATTCATGATGGACGAAAGAATACATATTCCCTTAGCATCAAGGGAAAAAAGATTGTGTTGGCACCCCGACGGGAAGGACTCACTCTTACCCCGGTAACCCATAATATTAACCTGCTTTCTATGTCCAGGTTTTTAGATGAGATTGATCATGGAGGCGTGGTCTATGCCTTACTACCTTGCAAGAATAGTGCAGTAGATGTGGATACATATTTACCAGTAGAGGTGCAGAGGTTGCTAGCAGAATTCTCTAACTTGATGCCAGAGGATCTTCCTCTTGGACTACCGCATATAAGGGATATTCAACATCAAATTGACCTTGTTCCTGAGTCAAGTTTACCAAATCGACCAGCATATCGCCTCAGTCCCAAGGAGGCTGAAGAGTTGTAGCAGTAGGTGGAAGAGTTGTTGGAGAGGGGCTATATCCGTAAGAGTATGAGACCATGTGCAGTCCCTGCTTTGCTAGTGCCAAAGAAAGATGATTCTTCACGTATGTGTGTTGACAACCGAGCGATCAACAGAATTACAGTGAAGTACCAGTTTCTAATTCCCCGTCTAGATGATATATTGGATCAGCTATCCGGTTCTAAGGTATTCTAAAAAATTGACCTTAAAAAAGGATACCACCAAATCAGAATAAAACCTGGAGATGAGTGGAAGATGACGTTTAAAACGCCACAAGGGTTGTATGAGTGGATGGTCATTCCTTTTGGGCTATCCAATGTGCCCAGTACGTTCATGAGATTTATGCATCAGGTCTTGCGGCCTTTTATGGGGAAATTTATTGTAGTTTACTTCGACGATATCCTTGTTTATAGTCCGACATGGGCTTCACACTTCGATCACCTCTGTGATGTTTTTGAGATGCTGAAAACGGAGTGCTTGTTTGTCAATCAGAAGAAGTGTTATTTCTTCACTACTTCTGTGAATTTTCTTGGTTTTGTTGTGTCTACCGATGGTGTTCATGCAGATAAGTCAAAGATAGATACAACATTGGAGTGGCCCAGACCAAGGACCTTACATGACATCCGAAGTTTCCTTGGATTGACATCTTTCTACCGCCGGTTCATTAGAAATTTCAGTACTCTGATCGCCCCTATCATAGAGTGCCTCAAGGGGCGTGATTTCCAGTGGTCTGAGGAGGGATAGGCCAGTTTTCAAATGGTCAAGCAGAAGATGACCAAGGCACCAGTTTTGGCACTTCCTGATTTTAACAAAGTGTTTGAGGTAAATTGTGATGCATCTGGCATTGGCATTGGTGGTGTTCTGAGTCAGGCAGGTCGTCCAGTTGCTTTTTTTTAGTGAGAAGCTATCGGGATCAAAGAAAAATTATTCCACTTATGATATGGAGTTCTATGTCATAGTTCAGTCCCTGAAGCATTGGCGTCACTACCTAGTACAAAAGGAGTATATTCTATTTACCGATCATGAGGCCTTGAAGTACATCAATGGACAAGCTGAGTAGACGTCATGGCATACTTGCAAGAATTCACTTTTACGCTGAGGCACCAAACAGGGAGTTTAAACCGCGTCGCAGATACCCTGAGCCGTCGTACCTTTCTTCTCACCACCATGAGTACCAAAGTTGCAGGCTTTGAGACATTCACAGATATGTATGCAGCTGATCCTTCATTTGGAAGGATATTTCAGGAGGTAACTGAGGGTCACCGTCATGATTTTGTTTTGCATAATGAGTATCTGTTTCATGGATTATAGTTGTGCATTCCAGATTGTTCATTGAGGCAGCAAATTTTAAGTGAACTTCATAATGAGGGACACTTTGGCTGAGATAAGACCTTGGCCCTTATCTCTTCTGACTTTTATTGGACCAATTTGACTAGTGATGTGGCCCATTATGTGGACCGTTGTTATATGTGCCAGCGGTCTAAGGGAGTTCTCACCAATGCTGGCTTGTACACTCCCTTACCTGTTCTTGAAGCTCCTTGGTTCGATGTCAACATGGATTTTGTATTGGGCTTACCCCGCACCCAAAGGGCCTCGGATTATATCTTTGTTGTGGTTTACAGGTTTTCCAAGATGATCCATTTTGTAGCTTGCAGAAAGACTATGGATGATGTCTGGATTACCCATTTTTATTTCAATGAGATTGTACGTTTACAAGGTGTTCCTCGATCCATCACTTTAGATCGTATACCAAGTTCATCAGTCAATTCTGGAAGAGCCTGTGGGGAAAACTGGGAACGCAGTTTAATTTTAGTAGTTCCTACCACCCACAGACGGATGGCCATACCGAGGTGGTGAACTGGAGTTTGGGTAACCTTTTGAGGTGTTTGGCAGGAACGAAGCCGAAGCAGTGGGATTTGACATTGCCTTAAGCAGAATTTGCCTATAACAGATCAAAAAATAGAACCATAAGTTTAAGCCTATTTGAGATTATCTATGGTCAGAACCTATTTGGGGTGCTGGACTTAGCCCCTATTCCACGTATAGGACGTTTCAGTCCTAAAGCATATGAGATGGCAAAGTATCTTCGGGGTATCCATGAGTAGGTGAAATAGACTATTCATGAGAGCAATTCCAAGTACAAGACTCGGGTTGACAATCATCGTCGTCAGGTACTTTTTGATGTTGGTGATTTTGTTTGGGTTGTATTAACTCGTGATCATTTTCCTGTTGGCGAGTATAATAAGCTTAAGGATCGGAAGATTGGACCTTATGAGGTCATGCAGAAGATCAATGATAATTCTTATAGGTTGCGTCTTCCCAGTCACTTGAAGACTTCTGATGTCTTTAATGTGAAGCACCTAAGTCCTTGTTTTGTGGATTCTGATGACACTACTTTAAACTCGAGGACGAGTTCTTTCTAACCCTGGGTGACTGATGCAGGGGGATCCGAGACAGATGATGATGAGTTGTTAGATTGCACCTTGATGGCGCTAATATACCATGAGTTGGCAGATTAACACAAATGCGAGAGTTGATTGTGATAAGTTCCTCATTGGGGTCATTTTGAGTGCGTTTCAGTCTTTTGGCCATAACTTTGGCTACGGGTGTCAAAATCGCGCATAAGATCCCAATTCGGAAAGCCCATTTCGACGCGCACGCTGTCCAGCATGGCTACATGTGGCCTTTTTTTTTACCTCAAATTCTTCCGTTTTCCCCTCCGAATAACTAGTTTTATTTATTTTTTACTATTTATGGTAATATTTCGCTTGTCAATTAGGAAGTCATTCTAAATCTGATTTGTGCCCGTTTTTTTGCAGATTGCTTAATTTATTTTGAATTTCAATGTAGAGTGATTTTCGAGATTTTTCTATTTTTGCCAAAATTCGGATAAAGATGATTTTTTGCTATAACAGTTCGGCTTGTGGACTGATTTTCGCATTGTTTGATTTTATAATATTCCATTAAACCCTAGAGACTTTTTTTTCTCTGGCTTTGGGCGAATTTTCTCTTGTGAATCATCTGTTAGAACTAGCCTGTAGGATAATCGCTATCCTATACGTCGTCATCTGTTCATCATGTTTAATGTTATTGTTTGGTTGAATCGGATTAGGCTAGAGGAGTTGCTATGATGAAGGAAAAATGACAGCTGAAACCTTAGCTATGGATTATCATCGAGGTTTTGGGGTTGAGGTATCATTTTCTCGATTTGCTTGTACAATATAATAGGATATGGAGCAGCTGATATAGAAATGATCATGTTGTAGAATTTAGCTCCATCCTATAGTTGACTGGTTATGAAAGCACAAATAAGCCACCTTGTTTGATCTATAAACAAGTTAACCAAATAACTCTCTCCTCATTAAGCATCAAAGGTTTTAATCATTCGAAGTAACCACTATATAATGCTAGAGCATAATCATACGCTAATGTACTTGCAAAGAATCTGATAGAAGAACAATTAACTGGATAATCAACGCTAAATATTGACAGCTATTGCGGTATGTTTAAGAAAGTAGACTGGATAATCAACACTTATTTCTATTTTAAATTAATTTCTTTTTAATCATCTCAGGCCATCGATGATATTTCTATATCAGCTGTTTAACTTCTATTTTTCTTAAACATACCGCAATAGCTAAGGTTTCAGCTATAAGTGTTGATATTTCGTGACATTTTTTTATGAAAAGGCCGCAATAGGTATGGTATTTAGCGGCGTTTTTAGGATACAAACGCCACGATAAGCCTGATATATAGCAGCATTTTTAGGATACAAACGCCGCTAAAAGTTGGTACATAGCGGCTTTTTGTGATACAAACGCCGCTAAATAACACAAAGTTTAACCAATTAAAAAATTATTGTCTTGTTTTTAGCGGCATTTTTGGGCACAAACACCACTAATTCTCTTATTTTTAGTAGCATTTTTTTTGCCACAAACGCCTCTAATTCTCTTATCTTTAGTGGCATTTTTTTGCCACAAACGCCGCTAATTCTCTTATTTTTAGTGGCATTTTTGGCCATAAACACCACTAATTCTCTTCTCTTTAGTGGCGTTTATAGCCATAAACACCGCTAATTCTCTAATCTTTAGTGGCGTTTTTGCCACAAACGACGCTAATTATGTTGTTTTTAGTGGCGTTTGTAATACAAAACGCCGCTATATATTATGATTTATAGTGGCATTTTTACAATAAACGCCGCTATTTGCAAAAGGTTGGTATAGGCAAGTTTGATTGGGTTGCTCTTGGTTAAACCAGTAAATTGTTGATAATCACTATCTTAATCCTTAAACTTCCATTAATGCTAATATAATATTATTAAAGAAACATTCTTTTCGAAGCTAGAGAATATGAAGGTAAGTAATTTATTAAAGAAAACAATTTATCATCATTAATCGTACATGATATCTTTAAAAAATATTAAGTTCAAAGCTAACAAACTAAACTTTCATAGCTTTAAAGAATATCGTTTCACTCCGTAGAGCCCCCAAAGCTTTAAGCAACCTAAAGTATACAAGAGAAGAATGTTAAGTACATGATAGGGTATCAAGTGGAGCACATAGCATTGCATAACGTGGAACTAGATCTTACCAAGTTCAAGGATTGGTGGAGCAAATTTCAAAGCTTGAAATGCCACCTGATATTAAATAATGAAAAATTAGAATCTTGAGAGTAAACATAACTTGGTAAAGAAGAGGGCAAAGTGACCCAAATTCAGTAAGATTTTCTAATTGCTGATGTGCCATTGTTCCATTGCGTTAATTTACTTTATGCAAATAAAATATAGGAACTTGACTATACATATAGAGAATATGTGGAAATGAATCATGATGAATCCTAAACAACGCAGCTTCTATTTGATGATAGTAAATAGTGTTTAAGGGATATAACTTACTTCTGAGTAAGCCATTTCTTAAACTGAGAAAATGCAGTATACTGCGATAGTAGACATTAGTGGCCAGTTTTTAAAGAGATTTGGTTTGTGAATCTGTCCGTCTTCAAGTTCTACCACATTGTCTTTCCGACCAGATCAATTTGAAGAAAGTTATGGAATGTCATATGGATCAACTGTCTCATTTCCCTTTCCAGCATGCTTGTGTAATGTTTCCTACATAAAATTTCATCACAAAAAAGGAGGGAGAAATAAAATATAGGGATGTTATTTTTTGTGATAAACCACTAATATAAGAAGCATGTCCCACAAAAGGATTAAACTTGTCTCGATGCAAAATGCAATATTTTTTTTTGAGAGAATCAATCATAATATGAAAACTGCAGGCAAGTGGGTGCATATAAACCAATAAAAAACCATTAAATGAAAGGAAAAAAAACATATTGAAGACTGAAAGAAATAGAAATTCAACTTAATCTTATTGCTCAGCTATGTTGCTCAGTTTTAGGGGTGAGTGACGAATACTTGTTTCAGTAATACTCAAATACCCAAAGTTCAAAACCGTAAGTCTTAATTGATCATGAATCAGAGTAGACAAGTAGTACCTGATAGGTTGATACCATTTCTTGAAAGTAACAAGAAAATGAAAAGACGACAAAATGAGTTTGAAACTTACAGGAAGCCATTTGCAGGCAATAAGAACTCCAACAGAATAAACTGATATTATGAGGCATGGTAAGAAGTAGGGAAATCTGCAATTGTGTCCACATCAAAACACCACCACATAAAGAGAAAAGATAATAAATACAGATAAAAAAATGCAATCCAGACTACCTCCCAAAGATGGAGCTTTTTGAGAATAGATTCGGGTATTTCTCTACAGGCTATGAGGCCATACATGAATTAATAAATATGGTTAGCAGGCAAGAAAATTTTCTTTAACATGTGTAAAGAGTGGGACAATGGAACGTCTCTACCTATGCAATGAATCCACCAATGGCAGGCCCAATAATCAGTCATATGCCTCGAGATGTACTAACCTGAAATTTGAAGTCTGATATAAATATGATACTGCAGAATCCAGATGATGTCTTCCTCTCTTTATGTAATATGAAAGTCTCGGATCTGCCAACCAAAAAACCCATAGACGTAATGTCGCTTTTGGTTTCCACAGTAACATCTTTAATTATAGAAAACTAATGATAAAAACAGACTTTTCCAGTTATTCAAAGGCAGAAAACATACCGTAAAGGGAATAGTGATTCTATTTGCAAAGCTGAAAAATGTAACAATAATAAGAATGCGAGTGTTAAAACTCACAGACAACCAAAAAAACCCAACAGGATCAAAAACGCTAACCATAAGACAGTCCTAAGAAGAGTTCAAGATACAAAAAAGCAAAGTATAAGAAGCTAAAATGATTTGATTATTTCCACAAAGACAACCCAAAAGCAATAATCAGTAACATTAAAATCTTACATTGAAAGATTGTCCACAAAAATTACAGCATCAGTAAAAGGGTACTCCCATAGATTTTCCTAAAAATCAAAGAACCGAAAAGATTTCGGAAAGAGATGATGACTTTCAGAGTATTCCTCCTGACCGTTTCGGAAAGATTCCAAGTCATTGCCAGAGTCGTCTAACTGACGCTCATAAGATGAATTCAAAATGCCTTCTTTACAATAGATCCCTATATTAGTCAAAAGATGGCAGACACCCTGTATTACATGACAAGGTTAGTGTCATAAATATAATCTATGCTTAAACAAAAGCCCATCATACTCTACATTCAACCTTCCGTTTACACCTAAAGAGAATCAAAATTAACTGGAAAAAAATTATAGATACTTAAAAGAAAAGCACAAAACAAGGGCTTCTAACATTTAAGTATAACATAAGTGAGGAATGTAACTAAATTCCACTTGAACATCAGCAGTATAATGTTAATTAAATTCCACTTGAACATCAACAGTAGAATGTTGATTAAATTCCCATCCGTTCAATTCTTTACTAAGAATATGCATCCAACTATCAATATTAGGATATGGAATGATAGGTATGTACTTCATTTCATTTGACCAGTAGTGAGTATAATGTTAATTAAATTACCAAATTCTTCTATAAACATATGCATCCAAACATCAATATCAGGGTAAAGAACGACAGATTTATACTTCAATTCAATATCCAACATGAAGCCCATATGGTGATGATACCAATAATAATGCTCTATCTCTATAATGATTCTTGCCCACAATTTAATGTACATCTTAAGCATAGAAAACAAACGATTATTCCAACAAAAGCATATAATTACAATTCAATACATGATATTTATAGTTTACGAGGCAATAAAGAAATACCTCAAAAGTCAGGAGGTTGAAAGCATGTATTTAACGGCAAAGAAATATCCCCAGGTTACTGTTTGGGTCCAAAATAACCTGGTCATCGTCCATAACTCCTGAATCATCCCCTCCAAGTGTTTCTACCAAAAAACAATAATGACAGGGGAAAAGAAGATGATAAAGTGAGTAAAACAACAAACAAATAAAAAAAAGCTAACCTCGCAACTCATTAAAGAAATTGAACAGATCATCAGGCGATGATAAAGATGATAATCGACTAGTTACATGATCAGTTAACCAATCATCCATTAAACCACCAATCTCTCTCAATTGGATAATGAGCTGATCTAATTTCAGCTCCAACATGTCATCACATGACTGCAATACGCAAACACTCATCAATTTTAGTCATAGAAAAATGATTACCAGAATAAGTCCAATAATGTTTGTAGGGTGCTCATAATAAACTGGAACTCTGCTATGCCCTTTCTCCAAAATTAAACTCATCAATTCCCTGCCCATAGCAAGCATGTAATGGTAGTTTATAAAATCAAATGAAAGTTAAAGTAGATATTCAAATGCCATCTTTCTTGGTAATTTACAGAAAACCATACCTGTTAAGCTTGGCATTAATATCAATTGCAAATGTTTCAGATATGGGAGTCATGGCATCTTTAGATTTTTTCTTAGTGAGCTCAAGTTCTCTAGCTATAATTGTTGTCTCATCATGGGTCAGCTCTCCACCTTTGCCAGCCTACTAAAGGTCCAACAAAAGGATCGTAAATCTGAAAGTTATGATGAATGAAAGAAGGCATTGCACTTCAAAAGGCAAAGACACATCAAGAATTTTACAATTCAAAATGAGAGAAGTTAGAAAGTACAACAGTGATTAATCAATGGTCAAAAACAAATATTGATTTGATAAACAAAAACAACCAAGATAATAACTAGTTATAGAAACAAGCAAATTAAACAACTATAGGGAAAAGCTTGGATGTAAACCTCGTTTCCATGCAAATCTACTAGGGTTTTCAACTTGGCTCTTCAAAAAAGTGCTACATGTCCATGACCCAACAGAAAGTCTAACAGTTGAAAAAAAAACAGAGAAGGTCAGCCACAAGAGCAATCTGCAGGAATTACATGCTTGGTTGTCTTTCTCACTGTCATAAAAGCATTACTAGCAACGTTCATCACCTTGCTTATTGGGTAGGCAACAGGAAAACAGATCCAAACAAGAACTCGAATGAATAGAGCTACCTTTGCACCAATTGCCAAACCATATCGAGAACAAACAGATTGTGGTATTATCTGCACAAACAATTAAATTGCAATTAGGATTTAGGGCATTCAAAGAACTTGATTCCTTTTTTAACAGCTATAAGTAATTTCACTTTCTAAGAGCAAGTCTAAATCCATAATGGTCGGAAAACAATTTTATAAACCAACGGTTGCAACCTTCTGGGAAAAAGTTGCTCAGCCAAAAGTTTAGCAAATAATATCCAAGTAACATATGAACATTTTCATATCGCAACTAATCAGTGTTTAACAAGGATTTCTAGCTCTACCGAGTTCAAAAATGCTTCAAATAAAATAAGCCAAGGTGGATACTCACCTCACCAAATAGAAGAATCAAGGTTACTGAAATCAAGATAGCACCCCAAGCTGTGTTGAGAAACGGAGGAGAAAGGGAAAGAGACGAAGATTTGAGAAGGAGAAGCATAACTATCAACCAAAATGCACACTGAAACTTTGTGTGGAGTTATGGAAAAGGCACCCGGTGCTCTCACTGCCCCTTCCATTTCTAATAGACTTCCACAAAATTTGTGATGCTGCATGAGATACCAATCCATATTGCTCAAAATCAGCAACACATTCTGAAAAACGCTCCTGACCATTCCCCATACATTTTTATTTTTTAGAAAGGGGGCAGCGAGAATGGAAAAATATGTAAAGGGGAGAGAAGAAACATGGTTATAAGAAACAAATCAAATAACCAAAAACTAGTCTAAAGTCGAGAGGGAGGAGAGAAGATGAAAAATTTTATTTTTTTAGAAAAGGGAGCGGGAATGAAAAAATAGGTAAAGGGGAAAATAAAATAGGGTTAAAGAGGCGCCTGATTTAGCAACTTTAAACTTGCGGCGTTTTAAAAAACAAACGCCACTAAAGTACGAGTCTAGCGGCGTTTATATAAAAACGCCACTAATGTACGAGTCTATAGCGACGTTTGTACAAAAACGCCACTAAAGTACAAGCCTATAGCGACGTTTGTAAACACAAACGCCACAAAATTACAAGTCTATAGCGGCATTTGTATAAAACGCCACAAAAGTACGAGTCTATAGTAGCGTTTGTATAAAAACGCCACTAAAGTACTACTCTATTGCGGCATTTTGTTTAAAAACGCCACTAAAGTCGAGTCTATAGCGGCGTTTGTATAAAAACGCTGCTAAAGTACTACTCTATCGCAGCGTTTTATATAAAAACGCCACTAAAGTACGAGTCTATAGCGGCGTTTGTATAAAAACGCTGCTAAAGTTACCATTTTGTGGCGTTTGAAATATAAACCCCGCTATATGTTTAAAGTTAGTGGTGTTTACTCTTAAAACGCAGCTGTAGAACAGTTTTGCTGTAGTGAAATCTTGGTGTTATTTGTTTTGTGATCGCTTTACATTCGTTATTATCGTGCTTTTATTATTACAAAAAGAAAAACAAATCTAATTTAGTAATTTTTCGGATTTTGTTAGTAAAGTGCTAAATGACTGTGTCAATTCATTAAGAGATGCATATAAAATTCACAATGGTTGTGATTCATCAAGGTCGGCAAGGTCTTCTATTGGTCTGATCCTCGGCCAAAACTTAAAAGATTTAATTTTCATTTGAAAATTGAAGGGGAAGATAATAAAAGGTCTTATATCAGGTGAAAAATCTCTTACACACGACGATCAAATGATGATACTTGCTATTTGTAGGTGCGAATTGCTCGGATTTTCAATACTTATGGGCCTCGTATGTGCTAGGATGATGGACGCATCATTAGCAATTTTGTTGCTCAGGTTGGTTCATACTTCTAATTCCTGCATTCATTAACAGTGAAGTTCAGATTTGGATTATATGTACATTTTCTTATATTGGTAGCTTTGTTTTGCAGGCCATCCGGAAGCAGCCAATGACTGTTTATGGTGACGGCCAACAAACACGAAGCTTCCAATACGTTTCTGATTTGGTCAAAAGATTTTTGGCCATCCGGAAGCAGCCTATGTCATGTAAGCAATTAAGCACGCGTGAAAGATGTCAATAACTTGTGTTGGCTGTTAGTCAACTAACAGTTTCCTTATAACATGGGATATTTTGACCATATTTTGAAACATTAGGGTTAAAACGTTTCGAAAAATAATAAGGGTCAAAATGATTATTTATGCAAATGATCGGGGATAATTTTGTTATTATGCCTGGTTAAAATTCAGACAATGCGGAAGTTAAGAACATGCGAATACATGCAAATCAAAGATGTTCATATCAGAGCTTCTAAATGGCAGGTGGATGGACTTGTCGCATCAATGGAGGGGGAGCATATAGGGCCCTTTATTAGTCACTGCTACTTTTATGAAATACTCTCATACAGGAAATATTTATTAGGCATCATCATATACTTTATTTAAAAGGGCTAAACTACATTAATGGTAACTCAAGTTTGAGTAAATTTTTGTTTTTCCCACTGAACTTTCAAAAGTTACATATTAATCACTAACATTATTAATTTGTAATGAAACGATCACACGATGTTACTTTATGTCACGAGCATCAGAGATATAGACACAATTGATGAATACGAGAGAGAATTAGGGAAATTAAAAGTAGGGTTAGGAATTGTAATTAAGAGAATTGGGAATGCAAAAGAAAAAGGGACATGTGGAAAAGAGGCACGTAAGGAGAGAATTAATGAAGAGTTGAGTCACTTACCCGATGGACCGAATGAGCAGTTTAGGAGTCTAGCCCAATCAGGGGAAGAAGTCACACCAACAACACCTACAATGGGATCATTTCGTTAGATATAGTTGTACTACCAGGTGGCAAATTAGTTAGAGTGGTACAATGTAATCAAATAAAATGGGTACCGAACCAAGGGAGGAATTATGAAAATATTGAATGAAGTTATCTTTTCTGAAACATCTTTTCCTTCTCTAAATCTCCTCTTTTCTCAATCTTTATTTATATCCTTTTCGATCATCATTTTTCGATTCTCTTGGGATCATAACATATTGGTATCATGAGCCTTAATTTTTGGCACTATAAAGCTCGAGTATGCTAACGAAGAACCAAACGATGGTTGAATCCACTTATTTGTTTGCAATACATAAGCAAATTGATCTTTTGACAAAACTGGTCAAGAAAACAATTGATGAGACCAACCCCTAAATGGTGAAAAAAAACAAGAAAGTCGATTGACTACATTAGAATCTAAAATGGAAATAAATATGAGATCTGTGGTGCAGATCTTATAGATTTTGAATGATAAAAAGAATGAGAAAAAATAGATTCATGGGGACTGCTTTCCTCAAGTACATGAGCACCAAATTCATGAGGAGAAAGGAATGTGTCAACTTTCACTAGGTGAGCTTAAACCCATCTTCCTCACTCCTAAAACAATGTTATCTGCGATAATATAAGACACAAAGGATGTCTCTCAAGTGTCTGATAAAATGTCACTAAGAGTTCCTAATGTTGTATTGGCATCCATCACTAGCACCATGAAGGCTAATTCACGACTGCATCGGAACGTTAATATAGTTGGATCTACAACATTAATATCGTTGGCAAATCAAGGTTTACCTATGTCGGTTCAATTTCTACCTTTCAACCATTTTTCGTGGATTTCTCCAAACTTTGTGATGGTGAGATTTAAAGGGATATAAACTCACAAAAATAGTTAGGTGGTTATCCTTCAAAAGAAAATGGGGCACATTTTCGACTATTTCAAACAACTGGTAACTTAAATGATTTGAATTATCTAGTTTCATTATTATTTAATGAAATTTATTCGATTATGTTTACAAATGTTAGAAGACATTTTGAAATCTTTGATCCTTATATGTTTCGGCTCTTGTTGATGAAATGGAATATGACTCAATTTATTAGGAGTTTGAGTATTACTAAAAGAGATATTAGTTCACTTTTTAGGCCAAAATTTGTTGAACTCACTGAAAAAATTGGGTTGCTGTATAAAAATATGAATTCTTTAAGATCATGTATAGGTGAAGGTATGTAAGTCGTAATGTTACATTTAAGTGTAACATCCCAAATCCCAGGTTAAGAATTTCGAGATGGCCTGATTGGACCTTAAGAGTAACCTAGGAGACCCATTTAAGGTTTTGTGTTTTTTGGGCTTCCCATGAGTAAGGCTTGAGCCCATCTAGACTAACAAAGAGTACTTTAGAAGTTGAACAAAATTGAGTGACCAAGTGGATAATAACCCTAAATATTCACTTGAAGGTTGATCTCATTTATGGGATGCCTATGTCACGTTGCACTATTCTTAATCTCTTCTTTCAAGCTCTTAATCTCTTGTTTCCATCAAGGTAGCAAAAAGTGCGTTTTGTGGGGATTTATGGAACTTGACTGTTTAATCCGTTTTGCAGGAAGTTTAAGCCTTAGGAAGTGTTCTTAAACCCTTCTTAACATTTAAATCAACTTAGTAACGCTTATGGTTGATCCTTGTTCAGTGAGAGAACTAGGAGAAAGCTACAAGAGCAAGGACAAGGAGAAGCTTGTGATAAGGTGACTTGGATGTGCTCCCAATAGCTTAGAAATCCAAGGTTACACAGTTTTAACTCAACTCTATCACATGTAGATAATTAGATAAGGTTGCATGGGTTATGAAGCATGTTCATGATGGATTCAATATTTGGGTTTTTAGCATGTTTACAGCCTTATTATGACCCCTATAATCAGACATAACACTTTAATAACAATTGGGAACCTTGGTAGGGTCTTTGGGGAGGAAAGCTAGAATTTTTATGCCCAAAATAAGGTATTCTAGGCATGAGTATCGATACTAGAAGAACAATACCAATACTATTCTTTAGATGCTAAAAATAAAGAGATTTTGGGGATAGAAATATCAATAATCCTACAATGGGTATCGATATGGTAGGATGGTATCAATACTCACAGGGTGGTCAATATCGAGTTCAGTTAGCAGATTCCAGTATACAATTTTGGTACTGATACTCATGGGAGTATCGATACCAGTATGGATACCCTCAATAAGGGTATCGATACTAAGGTATTTTCTCAATACATCAAACCTAATTTCGGTATTGATACTTAGAACAATATCTATACCCCATCACTAGAGTATCAATATTTTACTTCCCTATCAACATATAATAGCTAGTAGGTATTTATTCCAAAAGGTGGGTATTGATACTCAGGGTTCAATATCGATTCAGTACAAGCGTATATTTTGGATACGTAATCAAATTGTTTAGGAATTAGACTTGAGGGACCCAATAACACTAGAATATCAGTAAACAAAATTACAAGTGAGAACAATAATAAACTTAGAATAACTAGAAACATTAACAATTAGAATAACATAAAACTAGCCTTCTTTGACGCTCGAGAAATAGTCAAGACACCCAAGTCCCTTTAGCATAATATGACAGTCAATTGGATATCCAAGTCAGTGACAAGGAATTTCAGTAGTCGATTGGGCACAAATACCCCAAGACTCAACGGAGTAAGTTGGTCGGGTTTACGTTTTCGATGTAGTTTTGGATCTCACTCTAGATACCCAAGGGTATCTCAGAAAGACTAGAGGGATGTGTAAGCTCTGATATACAAAACCCTTAACCACACTATGATGCTTATTTCAACAATACATATCAATATTTTACATGTATTCATACCTACACCACTAGCTAGCTCATTTAGTGAATGCATGTAGTATAGTACAATTATTAGTGTGGTACTTAACTCATATGCTCAACGTTCGAAATGTGTTTCCGTGCATAAGTTCCTATGTGACCGGTAGAGGAGCATTATTGTCGAGAGTAGTTACTAATCAACCAAGGCATTTAGAGTACGTCATGTGTTATACTTAGAGGGCATATACTATTTATGATCCCTTATGTATTCATTCGTAACTTTTTTTATTTAAATTCAGTATTGTATTATTTTGGATATTTTGGGAGCTCCCTCATACTTATAAACTTTATTACTATATTCTAATTTAATAATGGATGGATTTCATCAGAGGGTTTTGAAATCAGTTTTAAAGAAAAGTTTTAAGTTACCCACTTCGGTGGTCCCGTATGACATGCTAATCTATCGATCTTTAGGTCGTACTAGATTAAGGTGTTATATTTAGTGGTAATAGAGTGTCAAGTTTAGCAGTTTCTAGGACCATCGGGTTAGAGTCAATCAGCTTCTATAATTATACATGTTTCTAAATAGTTAAGAGTACTTTCAAGAATAAAATGACGATAATAACCTCATATTCTTTCTAATTTCAGAGAAAACTCTATGGTAGACGACCCAACCTATAGTCAGGATGATAGAGACAAGAGTCATGCCTCATTAATAACTGACACCAGAGATGAGTTTGTCCCATATACAGACTAGAAAGAGGTACCAATAGATACAGAGGTCGAGGAGGTGACATTCTTCAGTAACCTTACCTCTGTACTTAGATAGGTCGCTAGGTTCTTACCCGACACCTCAGTTGCACCACCTCCCCCACCAACACCCCTAATCCAGGCAGTTGTAATACCCGAAGAGTCTCCAGTATAGAGGTTTCGCCTATACAAGACCACTAACTTCTATGGTTTAGGGATGATGATCCCATCGTAGTAGACCAGTGGCTCAATGAGACTCTCTGTACCCTTAGACAACTGCACTTTACCCTAGAAGGTATATTTAAGTGCGTCACCTATTAAAGGGTGACACATTGGTTTTTGAGAGACGATTAAGATGGCGTTGGAGCCAGAGAGGCTGACTTAGGACCAATTCCTATCAAAGTTCAACAAGAAATATATAGGGGAAACTCACACAAATGATCTAAGACAACAATTCTTACACCTAGCCCAGAGGGATTGTACAATGATGGAGTATGAGAGAGAGTTCCTCAAGCTGAGCAAATACGCTCTAAAGTTAGTCTCGATAGAGGAGCACCATTTTCGTAGGTTCAGGGAGGGCATACGCCTCGATATTCTGTTATACCTTATAGTCGACCCTCCTATGATCTTTTCCTAATTGTCTCACCAGGTGAAGATGGTCGATAGGGTTCTGAGTAAGAGGGCCCAACAGTCTAGCAAGAAGGTGGGACAAACTAGAAGAGTCACCGAGCCGGCTAGATCATCTTAGATACTGATAAAGAGGGTTAAAGATAGTTAGGGTTCATAGAGACCCCCAGCAGTGCAATCGATGAGGATTGGTCATAGTTTGGATTGAGGGGGTATATCCAAGTCTAGAAAGAGACCTCTGACCTTAGTATTTGGAGCCAATACCAACGATTCAACGAGAGTCTTTACTCACCTCATTTGTGCTCAGTGCAAGAGAAGACATCTAGGGATATTC